TTTAATCAGATTTATGATGTTCCAACATATGCGAAGCAGGTTGATATGATGAATTCCTGATGGACCCTCAAGATTCACTATTATCACATCTTACTGTTTGAACTATTATGCATGATAGTTTTCAAGTTTAACCCCGGTAGTTGGGTTTCAGTGTGCAATTCGTTATGCACATTTCCTTTCGAAATACTCACATTGTGCGTAAATTTTGTTTAGAAAGCTATTTATAAAAAGAATTTTGTATGTTCAGGGATATTTTAAGCACAATTCACCACTGGATCATTTTAAATCAATTGTCGATCTGAAACATTAAACTAATACTTGAGGCAATTATTCTATAATATAGCAGATAATCTTGTATAAAAATAATTGTTATCCAGGCTAATTAGCAAGAAATACTAAAAAAATTAATCTTATAGCACAATTAAAAACAAAACAAATATTTAAAAAATGAACATTCAATGCTAAAATATCAGCAAACATCTTTATTTAAAATCTTTCATTATCAGAACACTATTCAAGCATTCTTTTGTTATTATCAGCAGATTTTATTATCAGAACACTATTCACACATAATTCACAATTATAATGGTCAGTCTTCATTTACTAACTTCTTCATATAGACAAACTTCCTTTATACTAGCTTCACTTACACTGCTGAACTTATTCCCTATATTTCCCCGTATTACAACTAGAAGAAAAACAAGAAAGAGGAATCAAATTAACAGCTTCTTTAAATAAGTAATAATAATTTTTACTACAACTCAGTATAAAGTGAAACTCAAGCAGGATTTGAAATAAATAAAATTAAAGAAATTTAAAATGAACCTAGTTTTAAAAAATATTTTAGGTTAATATTGAACCGAATGTTTGCGTACGACAAATACATCCACTTCTGCATGACGATCATACACCAGAGACTGAATTCAAAATACTTTCAGCAATATTAATAACAATTATTTCATTAATCATTTTCTTTGCTACAGATATCTTCTAGAAAACATCAAAAAATTTTTTAATAATTTTATTCTCTATTGTTTATGTTAAAGACAAATAAATTTATCAATTTTAAAATGTTTAACAGTGAAAGCTTTTAAAAACGATTAGGAAAAACACTGATGGTAGATAATAAGAATGAAATTCTTGATTCGTCCCCAACCTTAACCAGTTAATAGCGTGATCTCCACATAATTCTTTAATAAACATTGCAATACTACACAATGAGTTGAAGAATAAAAATAAATTATCTAGGAGAAAAGACAATGAAATTGGAATAATTAAAAGAATAAATAAATTTATAAAAACTTACTTGACAGCAACCGGCACGGGCGTTGAATAAACGCTGGGAATAACGACAAAACAATAAGAAGTTGAGCTGATATTTTGCTACTCGTCCCAATCGTGAAGTTTGAAAAGAACACTCGTCCCGCAGTGGACTGATCGTTAAGACATGGTTCCCAGCAGATCACCGAAGTCAAGCATCACTGGCTGCGGTCAGTGTGCGGGTGGATGACCACTTGGATCAGCCTGCGTAGGGACCGAGGGTGTGCGGTATTGGTCCTCGTTAAACTGTGCTACCGTAAAGTGCTCGACTTCGCACGCAGGTCGTCGGGCTACCGAAGCGGGGGTGCCATCCCCTCCGCAGAGGATCAAAATTGTGATGGCATGTCTTCGGATCATCCTCCGGGATGTTTCCCAGACCGTCGCCAATAGCCCATTGTGCAGCTCTAGTGCGACGTAAATTAACAACAGCAACAACAAAAAAGAACACTCAAGTACAATTCACACTGCATCTCTGATTGCTTTTGACGCGAAGTCAAATGCATGGAAGCAACATATATCAAGGAGCATTCACACCGAATGCTACCTTATATATGAAGCAAAAATGCAAAACATTTTGTGAGAAATGAAAGCATAATCCGGAATTTTAAATTAAGCAATATAAGCTATTTTTTTTATTTATTAAAATGTCTTCCAGGGTTCGATTCTTGACTCCGCTAAATTCTCATCGAGAAGTACGTGTGATATATGTACTCGTAAAATCTCTGGAATCGGAAGTCCTGTGGTCAGTCGCTTAGCAGTACCATGGGTACAGGGATTTGACGAAAATTTCTTTTCCCTTCTGATCTATATATAAATTGAGGGAGTGGCCTGACAAAATTTGTGATGGCATACGTCTTCGGATCATTCTCAGAGATGTTTCCCAGACCGTTGCAATAGTCCATTGAACATCTCTAGTGCGGCATAAATAAAAGTACCTACCTGCATTAAAATATATACTCATCCTTTTGTTTCTAACCACTATCACATCATAATTTATAAATAGTTTTTTTTTAAAAAATATTTGAAGTAGAACCCTTGGCCATTGATGGTGTGACTGAAAATATGCAATCACAGCCACTCTGCCCTAATGACCTATGACAACAAAAACAATATATATAATAATTTTATCTATTATAAGCTCATATTTCCACGCTGTTATAAACTTTTATTAGAATATGCTCGACTTAAGTAAACGTGTAGGGAAAATACTCCCCCCCCCCATTTAATCTATCACTCGTTTACCTAAATCCACGAATATTTCTAATTTCATTAATCTGAATATGCAAAATATTTTGTAAATCAAAAACCTACCTCAATGTTATTATATTTAATTACTATTTATTTTTTAACATTTAATAGTACTTTTATACATCTAGCAAAATTTCTATTTTTTTTTTCTTATTTAAATCTTTCGTCTAATTAATCTAAATAATCTTGATATGTTGTTTTATTGCTTTGTATTTTTAAAACTCACAATAATGTTATTAATGACATTCGCCAAATGTTTAATAATTTTAAAAGCAAGTCTTAACCTTTCTGTAACCAGACAATGCTGAAGCAGTGCACGTGCACCTAAAAATATAATCTATCACTCGTATGCCTATATGAATGAATCCTTCTTAATTATATTAATCCTTATATGCAGCTTTATTGTTTTCTGAATTAAAAGTTTACCTTTGTCATATTAATTGCAGTAACTATTAATTTTCAGCCTTTAATAACATATCATTGCATATTTTGCATTTAAAAGTACAACTTGCAACCCCAATCTTATTTAAATCTTTTTTAATTTAGCTAATCCTGCTTTGTAACTTCGATTTTTTGTGATTTTAAAATTCACCATTATGTTATGAATTGCAATAACCATTTATTTTAAACCATTCGTTATGATTTCACATGTTTGATAATTTAAATCCTAACCTTTAAGCTTTCAATAAAAAGTCGCGAGACAATGTTCAAGTGCTGCAAGAGCTCATATTTTCATAATTTATTTTTTAACTTTCATAAAAATAATTTCATCACATGTTTAATAATTTAAATAACAACTTTAAACATTTCAGTAAAATGAGACAGTGCTGATTCAGACAGAAGACAATGCTCAAACAGTATCGTATTAATCTTTGAATTAACTTTATTAGTCCTGATATAAAGCATAACTGTTCCATATTTCTCAAATTCACCTTAATGTCAATATTTACAACTACTATTTATTTTTTTAATATTCTATTGCAATTTCACTTTATGTTTAATAATTAAAAGCTCGAGCATGGCGAACGTGTGCATAATAATTTCATCTTCTTTGAATTTTATTACTTGGGTACTTAAAATGTATCTTTCTTAATTTTTTTCAATTGCAATAAGCAGTCTTATTGTTTTATTCCTATTATTTAGCAAAAATTTTCATTTTTAGCCTCTTATTTAGCAATTTTAACCATAGCCATCTTTTTAGCCATCTTCTTAGCAATTTTAACCATATACTTATAATTTAAAGCTTTGAAAACTTTAAAAAAATCTTCCCGAGACAGATGCATGATGCATGTGCACATAATAGTAAAACAGCATATTTCACGATATATAGATATATTTGCTCATTGCTCTAAAAATAAACATAATATACGGGTTGACCATCATCACAGCAAAACATGTGTTTCCAAAAACTTTTAATGGTTGTTGCTGGTTCAACAATAATAAACATTCCCTGACAGTTGAATAATAATAATAGTAAAATAACATCTTCCAACATACTTTCATGGCTGTTGTTGGTTCAATATTAATAACCATAATCTGTTGATAGACCATCAAAATGGTCATGCAATATCTTCCGTCTTAGTTTGAAGTTGTTGTTGGTTCAGCAATAAAAAACATAGCATAAAGGTTGAACCAACATAATAGTTAAGCAAAATATTCCGTTTTATTTTAATGGTTGTTGGTCCAACATTAATGAACCGAAATTGTTGGTAGACCATCAAAATAGCCATACACCATCTTCCATGATATTTTGATAGTTGTTGTAGGTCCAACAATATTTTATCATCATAATGATAAAATAACATATCTCATCTTATTTTGGAGGTTGTTGTTGGTCCAACAATAAAAAACATAGCTTGATGGTTGAACCATCATAATAGGTAAACAACGTCCTGAATCATATTTTAATGGCTGCTGTTGGTCCAACATCAGTGAACACAACTTGCTGCTGAGCCATCGAAATGGCCATTCAACATCTTCCATTATATTTTGATAGTTGTTGTTGGTCCAACAATAAAAACATAACTTTCTGTTATACCATCATATTGATAAAATGACATCTCTCATCTTATTTTGGTGGTTGTTGTTGGTTCAACAATAAAAAACATAGCATGATGGTTGAACCATCATACTAGTTAAACAACATATTCCATCTTTTTTAATGGCTGTTGTAGGTCCAACATTAATAAACATAGCATGGTGGTTGAACCATCATAATAGATAAATAACATCGTCAATCATATTTTAATGGCTGTTGTTGGTCCAACATTAGTGAACATAACTTGTTGGTAAATCACCAAAATGGCCTTACAACATTTTAGGGACTCAAGCTTGTACGGGATTCATTTTTCATAACCTACTTTAATATAAAAAAACAGTCCAATCAAGAAATACAAGTATCATACAGTATCTGAAGTTCAAAATAACGGTTCTTAATGATAATCTATGTAAGGTGAGAAGGTGACGCGAGTAAAAAAAGCTGAGGTACTAAACATAGTAACATGAGATAATGCATAAAGTACAAAAGTGACATTTTTATTACCTTCACAGTTGTGAATGATAGTTCGCTTGTCTGAGAAGGGACTGAAAACACCAACTGACGAGAACCCTTTTCCGCAACTACATACAAAATTGTTGGTCCCACGTCGGACAGCTGTGCATTCCCTTTGTTTGCCACAACTCCTTTGTATAATAACATCTTTGCATGGATCCGCAGGTGAAAATTTACCTATATTAAAAAGAAAATGAGAAATGAAATCGATATAAGTATACCTATATTGAGGAATTTTATCTAAAATGGATTCCATAACTACTTTACTTCTGAAATACAAAAATATAAATTATCGAAATTAAGAAATAAATTGTAGAATTTTATGTAGAAAGATAAGTTTATCCAGACGAAAAATATTTTTAATAGGCATTTTTAAAAGCTACCTGTATAGTAAAAGAAAAATGAGTCCAAATTCTGTATTATTGTAAGTGAATTCATTTAGAAAAGGGAAGTATCTATAAATACTCTTTGTATATAATTGCGTCTAAAATAAAGTTAAAATATGCGTAGGAATGCCATGTAAATGTAATTGCATCAAAAATAAAAGTGAAATATCAATGAAGGCTAAGTAAACATAATTGTATCTGAAATAAATTCAAAATGTATGTAAGAATTCTATATAAATGTAAATACATCTAAAACAAGAAGAAAATATCTAGGAATGCTATGTAAATATAACTACGTCTAAAATAAAGTCAAAATATATGTAGGAATGCCATATAAATGTAGTACATCGAAAATAAAATAAACATAAATATGAAAGCTATAAAAATATAATATCCTCTAAAATAAAATCAAAATATATGTAAGAATACCATATATTTATGTATTTACATCTAAAATAAAGGAAAATATCTATGAATGATACGATAATCTAATTACATCTAAAGTAAAGTTAAAATATATGTAGGAATCCATATAAATGCAATTTCATCTGAAATAAAAGTAAATTATTTATGCCTGTTATTTAAATAGAATATATAATTGCTCCAAAAATAAAGGGAAAATTCTACGAATGCGACGCAAATATAATTGTATATATATACGGCGAAAGACCGAAATCGTTGGTTGTTGACTTTCACCAGTGTATGTCGACAATCACAGATATGCTTTGGTGAATGTCCGAAATATTTATTGCATTCGATTTGATATGAATTTATTCGAGGATATAATTACATTTATTCGATATTTTAACCCAACACTGATGGTTTTTTAAGGTTAAATGCTACTGCCCGGTATAAATTTGCTCGGTATACCCTACACTGATGTTTTTCAAAGGTTAAGTGCCTCTGCCCGGTATACCCTACACTGAGGTTTTTTTAAGGTTAAATGCCAATGCCAGGTATACATTTGCCCGGTATACCCTACACTGATGTTTTTTTAAGGTTAAGTGCCATTGACCGGTATACATTTGCCCGGTATACCATACACTGATGTTTTTTTAAGGTTAAGTGCCACTGCCCGGTATACCCTACACTGATG